CCCCAAAACCCCAAAACCCCAAAACCCCTAAAGCTATTTATTTTATTAAATATTGAATTAATTCCAATGATAAAATAATCTAAATTATAACTTGTTCTTAATGTATTTATAAAGGAGCAATCACTTGAGAGGGAGTGCTTTATTAACCTTTTTAAGCTTGTTGGCTAGCTCCTTGGTATCTCCTGCATTCATTCTATGATTGATGTTTTCCTTATCCTATTCTATACTTCTCAATTTCTCCATTAGCTCATATACCTAATCCTCTAACTGAGCATTTTTGAGTTCCACCTAGCCCTTGGCTTTCCTTTCCTAAGCAAGTTACATACTTAGTTAATTTTCCTTCTTTCTCATTTTGTCCTCATATTCCTCTTTCATTTAATTTCTAATTTTATCTATTCTATGCTTCTCCTCTTCTTTAGTTTTACTAATGAGCGTTTTACTCACGTCCTCATATACTATCTATGTGGTCCTTGCGTGATTGATGAGCTTTTCCTCTTAGAATCTCGAGATCTCCTGCTCTTTAAGACTTTAGAACTCCTTTTACTTATCTACTAAGAATGCGTCCTGCTTTTATCTGTACATTGATTCTATCTTGAGAATCTTCTGCTTATATTTCTATTCCATTTATGTGAATTTGAACTAATACTCAGATTCAATCCTTTCCTTGAGTCTGCGCATCTCTTTATCATTTTCTTAGAGTGTCTTGTACTTTATATCTTCTCTTTCTTATAAAATAAACTACCTCTCTTTAAGTTTTTGCTCCTCATGACGCATTTCTAAGGCTACTTAATCTTATGCAATATGATCTTTGAGTTATCTGACATTGCTGTCTAACTAAAGAATTTGATTATTTTAATCCATTATCAAATTATCTTTCTCAGTTAGTATCTATGAGTACTCTTGCTCAACTCGCTCATAGACTGTTTTTTCCACTCTCTTCAGCCTGTCTCTTTGATTCTCCATTTTTTAATCAAATAACTATTGCTGCTCTTCAAGTTTGTTGTACAAAGACTCGATCTCATTCTATTTGATTTTTAATTCTTTGCTAAATTGATGTTCTCTAGCTTTGAATTCATTCTCAAATTAAAGTTGCTATTGCAAGAGTTGCTTTTCAGTTTTTAATTTCTAGTTCTCAGTCATTTTGACTAGATCCTCCAATTCTTGAATATGTCTGGCATATGCATTCAGCTCTCTTTCGAGATTCATCATTCTTCTACTATCTATAGGCTAGTCTTGTTCTTATAACTCTTAGTTTTAGTTTGAAACTTAATCATCTACAAAGTCAAATGGTTTGCTTAATGATACATTACTTCTGTCTCTTTTCCTCGTATGCTGCTGATTAATTTGAGTAGTGCTCACAAAGCTTCGATTTACATATTCATTCTCACTATCACTGGTGTCTTCTGCTGTCAAAGGTTTCTTGATATTTTTACTAATATTTCTAGTATCCTTGAATTCAAATACCTACTACTGATTATTTTGATTAAACTTCTAGCTATCCTCTTTTTATTTTTTGTACTTTTCCTGATACCTCTTAAGCATATCATGAATAGATATTTTATTACTTTGATCATCTTCACAATCTCCTTCATTATTTTGAATTTCTTAATTTCCATAGATATTCTACTGCATTCTCAGATTCTGGTACTTTTCTTGTAATCTCTGTCCCTCTTATGGATATGAGATAGTGCTTCCAATACTATCATGAGTGTGATTGATAGTGAAATGATTCATAGGTGACATCAGAGTAACATTCTTAGACTCTGCATCTGCTAATGTAGCTGCTGCAGTTCGGCCTCCATAGATTTCACTCTATATGTTACCAGAAAGAGCCCTTGATTTCTTGTTCCCACCTATGTTGTTCTGGGTGGCAACTTTTCTGTCCTAAACTTCGTTTAATTAATCTTGCATTTTATTCGATCTCTACTAAACATTATCAGAAGTGTTATATATTTAAGAATTCTTTTAAAGATTTTGCTTTCCTGACCCACCTTCAGAGTTTAGGCCTCCAAATGTTTCATAAGAATCTCTAAGATTAGAGTGATTGTTTGGATTTCTTTGCTAAACCTACTAATAAGCCTAGTTATTCATAGATTCATTGGTAGGCTATGTTATTTATTACTATTAATTTTACTAGAGATTCTGCCTTGTTCGATTTAGATTTGAAGAAGTTGACTTTTTCATGGTATTCATTTTAAGGCTCATTTAAGAGAAAAGATTAGTGTTAGTTTAATTTCCATTGTTAATTATTTCACTCTCCTCATAGTCTTCTTCCTCAATTATTGTCATTGACTTGTTGCCTTTTTGCTAGGATTAAGGAGGCTAAATTTCCTCCATAGATTTCCTACAAGCAGCATTTGTCTCACGATAAGTTTCTTCTATTGATATAATCTCATCACTCATATTTGTGATGTCTATCTAACTACTCATGTTTGCACTATGCTCTAGATAGTTTCCCCCAGCTACTCCAGCACTACCATTTTCATTAAAAATAAGACTACTGTTATTATGTAAATCTCTTTGATTATGATTGTTATTGCTTTGCCTTATATGAGTTGAACTTTGATGAGTATCTTTTATCATTCGAGGCATGTTATCATTATTTTTGGAGCTTCTGCATAAACTTTAATCATGATCTTGTCCACTTTTAAAGCTGTCCTTGTTTAGTAAAATTGAATTATTAGTATTCATGAGATAGTCTGGCATATTTTTAGATAGTTCTTCCGCCATCATCTGAGTATTATTTTGGAGTTGCTAATCAATGTTTTCAAAAAGAAATTAATAGTCAGAGACAGCTGAATTAGTAGACTTCAAGAACTCTTCGAGGTCATAATCATTCATATTCTGTAAATTTTAATGGTGATTCTAAGAATGCCTTCGATTATCTGCACTGTTCTCAATTATTTGATGGCCTATAAAATCGCTGTATCTTGGGTTAGAAGCATTGAAGGCTTGTTTAAGTTGCTTAGATGTTTCATCTCCTTAGAACTATGAATTATTAAAGCTGTTATTTGATTTGTAAAATTGTTAGTCTGACTGTGATTATGAGTTATGGAATGATCTATTTATATGCATTTCATTGAATCCTGCACCTCCTCGATTCTGAGAGTCATTTAAACTTGTAACTCCTGCAAAAATAGGAGTATCTTTAACCTAGGCTTTATTTTTAGTATTATATGCATCTGTTCTTGGAGTTTCCGCATGTGCCTATGCTTATTCCATTTCTTAATGTAATTTAAAATTCAAATTAAATTGTTTTGTTAAAGTAAATAAAAGAGTAAATAATATATTATCATAAGATCAAAGTTCATTCAGAAATGCTAAATCACATGAATAGTAGTATCATCACGTATTTTTGGAGTCACATCGAGACATAGACCAAATAGATAATCAATCCATACACCAAAATATTTAGGGCGACAAGTATCAATATATTAGTCAATGTTTAGCCCTTTTCTAGTTGATTATTGATGATCATTACCAAGTCACTATCATCTTGCTCTAACTATTAATACTTATGCTAATCCATTTTAAGAATCCCCCTCATTTTTTCAATCATGCTTCCAATCACCCCTGTAAATTAATGCCTTTTGTTGTCCTCGATCAGCAAATGATGCATTTTGCTCTAGCTTTGAGAGGTTTTATCTATTTCTTGGTCTTTTTACATGAGGCTTTCTGTTAATGTATGTTCAAATAGCAGCTTTTTAGGTAATTATAAAAAATAGTTTATAATTTCATTAATTTAGAGATTATCACTATTAATAATAAAATAAATTTATTAGTCATAAATTATCAGTCAATTAACTCTAAGTAAGAAGTCTAATACAATAATAATAAGTTGTGTCATATCAGAGAAATTCACATTTATTTCACACTTTAGTCATACGTTATCTTTCATACAGGAAAATCTCTCCTTTAAATCATTCAATAGTTAAGTTTGCTGATGTTGCTTCTAATATCCATTATTATTCCCTTAATCTAGGATCTTCCATCAACAGGTCTTTCTAAGGGGATATGAGAGAGACCAATCGCCTTCTCTCTTTTGTGAAGATCCTATAGCTGATTATCTTTTTTCATTAATTTTTGTTTCGAGTTTTCTAGAATCTTAGGTTCTTGCTTTTCAAGATAGCTAACCATTTTAGTCTAAGTCAATTGTAATAGCTCATCAGTAGTGAGCTTTTTCAGGTTATTCTAAGGGGAAAAAACAGTTTTGAGCTCTTTATTCTCCTTAATCTTATTCCCTTCTTCTGGTTTAGCATTCATTATATTTCTTATTTTCTCATTTTCTTCCTCAAGCTTTGACTTTACTTGCAATTGGTTTTTCCTAAAGTTTCTCTGCTTCTGTGGAATTTGATATTTGTAATTCAAAACTGGAAGTTAGTTATGGGACATGTAATTGTCAACTCCAAACAAATTATTTTACTGAGCTGGCTGCTGATTGTTGAGAAACGATTCACTGGCATATGTCTTTAGATTTGGGTAAGGGATGGCCCTTATATTGGCTTGGGATTGATAAAGCTTTTGCTTAAGTTTCTGATAAGAATCAATCATGATCATTCTATTTTTATGCTATTCTCTGTTTGATTGCTGCTGCTGAGTTAAATGCAATTCATCAGGGCTGCTCTGAACTGTTGATTATTGAATAAAAGAATTCTTCAAGTTGCTGGCTTGATGCTTTGAATATGAGTCAGCTTAAAGTTACCTCACTTTAAATAAACTGAAATTCAACTAAGTTGTGTTCGTATCTGATTAGTTCATCGGTAAAGAGGAATTTCTAGATTTAAACATTGGATTCTTTGAATACTAGAGTTTATCCAGGTTTCTATTGTTGACGAAGTTCTTGTTATTTTCAAGTAAATTAATATTTATTGAATCTAATCCATGCAAGCTTTTGCTTCTATCTGTAATAAGAGTCTAATTCTCAAAGCTGATAGAGCACTAATCTCCCTAACCAAGGTTCAGTTTAGTAGTTTGTAGATTAAACTAGTCACTGATTTGATAATTCACATCCATATTAACGCCTTTTGTCTTTTTCTTTTTGAATCTTTCTAAGAACTTTTTGGTTTGTTATACACTTGGTAGCTAAAAACTTCTAACTGGTTTGTAATCCTATTAAAAGTATTCATAATGAATATAAGAATTATAAATATCTTACTACTGAGATAAGTTTATTCATGGAATCGCGCTCTTCTACATAGGGTCTGAATTCCTAGTCCTTACTAATATTCCTTCTACTGTTCTTCCGTGAACCTTCTCCTGCAAAAAGGTTTTTTTCATATTTCGATTTTAGATTATGGTTGAAGAAATCATTGAGGGTCCCTCTTTAGTTTAGCTTTTAAATCTTAGCAGTCTAGGGAATCATTCTTAGATCCAAGGATGATCTTAGATCCATCTTATTGCTTTGTCTTATAGAGAAATTAGGTTTGGTTGAAATTGTACTGCTCACCATTGAGGATTAGAACAGCTTTGACTACTGTTCTTGACTTGACTGAGTTTTAATAGTTGAAAGATGAGCAGGGTTTCCAAATAGTTAAGACTGAGATGCTGAATTAAACAGGGTAAGATTATTTATCATAGATCTGCTGATTTATTATTTATTCTCTTTATTCTATTTATCCCTTTTGTATCAATTAAATTTGATAGACTTTAACAGAAGGGGTTTTGGGGTTTTGGGG